AACAGAACTTTTTTGGGGGGGTCTGAGGCAGGATGGATCTCTGAGTCCCTACGTCCCTCTCCTGTTGCCAGGAGCCAATCTACCACATAGTGATAATGACCATGACTGAGCCCAGTATCCAGGAAGTGATGGCCTGAGATGGGGATGGGGAGGAGGGGCCAGCACCAAGCCAAGAACCAATTACAAGCCACGGTTAGGAAGCCAAGGTCAATAGTGATAGTGGTGGTCTGTACTGAGTCATCTAAGCTCTCTAGTCCAGATAGGAAAGGGCAGGGGTGGGGGGTAGGGGTGGGAATCAGGGCCAAGCAGCCCAGCTTTCAAGATCTAACTTTCTTAGTGCAACTGATCCACCTGATTAAAAAATAAATAAATAAAAGCTAAATTTCAAAACTCCTCCATTAAACTGGTACCACAGCTGCAGGATTCAACAAGCTCCCACCCCCATCACTCAGACACTGTGTAGGGACAATGACCTTCCCGACACACCCAGCCACGCCTGCCGCAGAACCTTTAAACCGGATTCTCTAGGAACATCCTGCCTCCCAGGGCTCTCCCAGCATTTGACGTCTTTCAGGGCTCTGGCCTCTCCAGGAACCAAGAGACGCCCCCCCACCCCCAGTAGCCCCTCCGAGATGTTCTAAGCCCATCTCTCGGCTGTTGTGGTCCCCTCTCAGCACTTGTCTTTGTCCTCGGGGATGGACAGGATGAACAGTCACTGAAGAAGCCAAGTGACTGAAAAGGAGCCACCTCCCTTATTGCTTCTTGGGAAGCTCAGCTCCCTGCTCTAGACTACAGTACCCAAGTAATGCATGCGGTACAACCTCCACCTCTCCTGATCGGTCACCACTGGGCACACAGACGAGCCAACCGTCACCCGGCCCCTCATTCCAAAGGGGACTTTCCCAATGGGAGGTAAGCCCCTCACTTCTCATGCTTTCACTAAAATGCTTGCTGATGTGCACCTTGCATTCTTTGCACAATATACTGACCACTGCCAGCTTCTGCTTTGATGTCTTGCGAGCGCCGTTAGCTCACCATCAAGTCGCCATCCTGTGGTTCGGAGAAGCTGTGCTTCGGTGTGTGGGAACATGGGCCCATGTGTTCTGGCCCCAGATCACCGTGCTGTGGTTTATGTTCAGTACCGTTGTCTGCCTGCTCCCTGTTGTATGTATTGCTTTCTGCCGTCCAGCCCCTACCCGTATTTCACTTAAAATCTGCTCAAGGCTGTTTGCTGTGCTTTCAGCCCCAGCCACATCCCACAGAAGCCACGCCACCTCACCATCTCCCCTGAGAGCAGCAGAACCAGGCCACATCCCACAGAAGCCACACCGCCTCACCATCTCCCCTGAGAGCAGCAGAACCAGGCCACATTATGAGTGGCTGGCCACCTAAAGCTTTTCTGGTGACAATGGCTGGAAGCAGAAGTTAGCAGCCTTTTCAGGTAGGCCCACCTTAAGCCACGTGGTGGTCATGGTGAAGCTGAAGCTATAAATAGGCTTAGGGAGACCTTGAACTCAGAACTGGGAATGATGGCTCAGTTAACAAAGTGCTTCTGGATGCACAAGCACAAGGACCTGAGTTCCGATCCCCAGCACCCACCTAAAAGCTGGGCATGGTGACACATGAACGTAATCCCAGCATTAGAGAAGTGAAGGCAGGAGGGAGGGTCCCTGGCCAGTCAGTCTAGTTCAACCCATGAGTTCCAGGCCAATGGGAAAGACTCTTTCAAAAATAAGGTGGGAATCAGTTGAAGAAGACACTCAATGTTGACCTCTGGGCTCTACATACAACACATACTCAAATGCGCGCGCGCGCACACACACACACACACACACACACACACACACACACACACACGCCTCCAAAATAAATATGTCAATAAAGGAAAACATTTTTTAATAAAAAATCCTGGGGTCCCTCACTTCAGAAACCAGGGTCCTCAAAGTATCTTTGTGGGAGCCAGGACTGCAGGTAATGCTGAGCCCCTTGGTGTCTAGGCCCCTGACAGGGTGCCCAACATGAAGCAAAACCCAGATGCCTTCAGCACTCCCCACCTCCAGGAAACCAGCAAACAGCAGGCAGTGCTGTGTATCCACAGGAAAACAAAAACTGAGTGTGTATCGAGCCTCCCTTTCCTGTCACGATTCCCTAAGAAAAATAATGTGACTACAGATGCGGTACTATGTCAGATCCCATTTAAACCGTGTGGGAAGATGTGTGCAGCTTACACGCCATCTAACACCACTTGATAGGAAGACCTTCAGCACATGGTGTGTGCATCAGAAGGGTTCCTGCAACCAGTCTCCAGGGATACCAAGACATGGGATGGCCACAACTTTTTCTCATCCACCCACCTGTGCCTTAGGAGGACACTTTGTCTCTCTCTGTCTCTGTCTCTCTCAAACAGTGCTTCACAACAGGATATAAAACACTTCCTTTACTGTCAAACTCTGAACCGCATTGGTAACGAGTGTGGTAGCATGTGCTATTTATAGAACACAAAAAATGGGCATCTAGAGATGAAATGTCATTTAGTGACTATCTCCAGGTGAAATCATGGTGGTGGTGGTGGTGGTGGTGGTGGGTGGGTGAGTGTCTTCAATATATTAGTTCTCAAATGCCTTTTACTATCAGGTAGGTTTTTTGTTTTTGTTTTTTAAGGCATTTTTAAAACTGTTGTCACTTAGACAGGTGGGGTGGCACACACCTGTGACCCCTGGCATTTGTGTGACAGAGGAATGCAGAATAACACTATGTTGTCATTCGGGAAAGGGAAAAAAAAAAAATCGCCCTTTCTGCCACCTTTCTCCTGTCTGTGCCAGCCAGCCTCCGCCCTCCAGCAGACACTTGCCCGGGCTGGGTGCAGATCACAGCAGCTTTGGCTCCGTTTTGGATGTCTTGTGGGGATCTTTGGTGCCGCGTGCAGGCCACTGTGTGGAATCCCATCAACCTCTCTCATCTCATGCCCACCTTGGTCTCTGGAGCCGCATAAAGCGACTGCCTGCGCTCACACATCTCTGTACTCCCTCTGTCCCAAGGGCATCATGGGCCTTTGCCAGGCAAAGAGAGGCTGCCCTTGAACTAGAAAACAGCAACAGCTTTGAGGGGCGCAGAGCAGTCATGGTTTTGGAAGGTGGGAGGGTGGAAATCAGCCTCTGGCAACTTTTACTATCAGAGTGACTTTAACTAACGGGTCACTACAACTCCATGAGCCATGCATGATTCTGTTGTCAACAAAATGAGGATGAGAACCCTCGCTGGAGAATGGATAAGAGTTCATGCCAAGTGAGACAACAGCTCTCAGGGCAGCTCAACAGCAGTGGGCACTGTGGCTGCAGACGATCTAGAATCTAATAGCTGGCCAAGCTCTTAACACCGGATGTGTTTTAAAGCACCCGACAGGCCTTTCAGAAGACCCCGAGGGCCAGAATAGACAGATGTGCCCATGTGGCTGCAGTCACAAAAATGGCCTTTCCCTGTCTGCATCTCTCTCCAAAACACATGCCCACAGCTCAGTCACTCCTGCAGATGACCTTAGTAAGTCTCTCCAGAGACCCAGAGTTCCTTCAACACTCAAACTCGGCTCTACATTACGTGTAATCTATACTCGCCACTGTGTCAGATGGAAACTGTACTCAAAGTACTTCTGCTAGTGTTTCTGCCTGGGTGTTTTGTTTTCTATCAGATGAGCAAAGATGTCCCTTGTAGACGCTGGGACATCCTCTATCCCAGTGGTTCTCAACTTTCCTGATGCTGTGACCCTTTAATCCAGTTCCTCATGTTGTGGTGACCCCGACCATAAAATTATTTCATTGCTACTTCATAACTGTAATTTTGCTGGTGTTGTCAATTATAATGTAAATATCTAATTCGAAGGGTATCTGATATGTGACCCCCCCCCAAGGGGCCATGACCCACAGGTTGAGAACCGTTGCTCTAGGCTCGGTGTACCAGGTGATCAAAAAACTCCTCCCCAAAAGCAAAAGCTCAGCCAACACAGAGTCTCGACAGTGTGTAGCCTCAGGTCTACAAAAGCAGCCTTCCCTGGGAATGAAGGGAGGTAGCCCCGCACCATGTATGACCTACATCCCCGAGAGTGGGGCTACCATCAGCTTTTAACACACCCTTCATGAGACTAGTTTATTCAAGTTGGAGGGCCTCTATGTGAGTGGCCTCTTCAGGACAGGCAGTGAGGAAGGTATTTGTGTATGTGTCCAAAAACAGCTCCAGGTTCCCTGCTACTCTGAATCCTCATGGCTGTTTCCAGAATCTTCTGTCTCTGCTTTCAACAGATGTTTCATGCTACTTCTTCAGCATGGGTCCCTTAGCTTCAATCTGCCTTCCCAGCAGAAGCACACCCTTGACCTGGTGTGGAGATCACATTTCACAGCAGAGTGTAGATGTGCACACACATTTATAATCCAAGTCTGAATTTCGTGTCACACTCCTTTTGTCTAGTGACATGTACTGAATATTCCTAAGACATTCTGCCAGAAAACTTAAGGATTACCTCTTTAACGTGTCCATTTTCAAACTTACCTCTTCTGGTTTTAAGTGGAATACACTATAACATCTTCCCTTTGTCGTTATGACCAAGAAGCTACATTACAAATTTACTTACAGCTCTGGGCCACTAGCAGTCAGGGAGTCATTTAACCATTTGTACAAAAAAAAAAAAAAAAAAAACCAGCCTTAGATTCCCTGCCGCTGTTTTAAGACTTTCCTCACTGTCCTTCCCTTCGGTGGTTGCCATATTTCTCGAACATGTGTCCTAAGACAGACTCAGCCTCCTATCCCATGGTGCATAGAACAAGAGTCAACACATTCCAAATTTAGAACCTGGGGTTCCCCAACCTTCACCAATCAGGGCCCAGTAACCTCAGCCTGCACAGCTGGATGATGGATTTCCTAAGGAATGTGGCATTTCCCTGAAGAATTCTCCCAGGCCTGGGGTGAACGTAGCTTTTCAGATCAAGTCACGGGCAAGGAGGTCATGTTACCTGGTCCTGGAGCTTCTGGAACATCAGGGGGTGTGGCTCTTCCAGGATCTTTTCACTGAGCCGAGACTGCCCCTCCACGTTGACTTGAGACGAGGCCTTATTGGACAGGAAGGTCCTGTAGATCTCCTTGGCCTTTTCCTGCATCTGGAGGAGATAGAAGAGCTGGACTGTCACCCACCAGAACAGCCTTTCCTGGCCTGAAGCCAGCTCCACCCGCCAGCCGGCCCTGGAAGAGCTGCAACTGGGAGCTATTGCTGCCTCCAGAAGCAAGCTCCCTGGGAGGGCCCACAGCAGCCTACCCCACACCTACTGCCTGACCTACCCCTCACCTACCGCCTGACCTACCCCACACCTACCACCTGACCTACCCCACACCTACCGCCTGAGCTACCCCACACCTACCGCCTGACCTACCCCACACCTACCGCCTGAGCTACCCCACACCTACCGCCTGGCCTACCCCACACCTACTAGTGCATCTGCAGCCAAGAGTCCTGAAATAAGAGTGCTATACGAACATTCAAAAACAATAAAAGCGACATTCCACCACGACTCAGGACCATCCTTGAAGCCTGCGAACTCAGAGCTCGTGGAAATGTCACTCAGTCTTGAGGGGAAATGAAGCACTCGCGGGTCAAAGTTCCACCCTAAGGGAACCTTGGAACTGTTAAGCTACATGAAGGAAGCAGACACAAGAGGCTGCACAGTGTATAATCTCGTTCATGGGGAAACACCTAGAACATGCAGACCCCCAGGAACAGAAAGATTAGTAATTGCTCAGGGCTCGTAGCAGGGAGAAATGGGAATGAATGAGGTGGGCAAGCACAAGGAGCAGCTGAGCCGCCTGGGACTCACTCCTCTTCCAATAACACATTGGCGGCCTAGGGCTATAACCTACACGTGCATGTGCACACTTACTGCTGTCCTAACAATGAATGCACCTCGTGACCTAGGACCCCCACCTGCATGGAACACAAAATCCCACCCCTTCTCCCAACAACCATCAGACATTAGTCATGTTTCCATTCATTCATACGCCAGTCATAACTAGGTACATTGGTAGGGGGCCATTCTGTCCTGAACTAGTTTTGGGTGGATGAACAATAAGGCAAACTGTGTCATCTAAGTAAATTTTTAGAGAGAATCCTCTATTTGCTATCTTATGCCTATGTACAACCAAGTGTGCCTATGATTCGGATCACATGCAGTATGGGAAGGGAAAGCACAGTAAAGGTTGTATCTTAGACATGTCAATCAAAGTAGAGAACCACCCATGGCATAACAGTTAGTAACCAGCCCCTCCTTTTTCTCTAGACCCCATCAAAGTAATCCCAGTAAATAACCTGGGGCCCTGAATACTCTCATTCATGTGGCCTGGTACCCCTCTCTCTCTCTCTCTCTCTCTCTCTCTCTCTCTCTCTCTCTCTCTCTCTCTCAAGACAAAGTCTCACTCTGTAGCTCTGGTTGTCCTGGAACTCATGCTGTAGACCAGGCTGGCCTCGAACTCACAAAGATCCTGTGTTTCAGCTTCCTGGGTACTGAGATTAAAGGTGTGTGCCACCACACCCAGTCTCTGCTGTCACTCTTGACAGAGCATTTCTTTCTGAGCTGCACTATGGCTTTGCTGTTTAGTAGTTTCCTTGCTACTTCACAGTCTTTCTGCATCTTTATTGCAACCCCTTGACCTGGAAATACCTGGACCAGACTCTGTCCACCCTTAACAAAGGTGTGGTGGCCATGAGGATTGTCTTTGGAGTGTTGAAAGGATTGGGGATCTAGTAAGTGGCAGTGTCTGTCTGTAGAGCACTGTGAATACACTCAAACGGAGTTTTTATTTATTATGTGTGTTTCACCAGGACAAATGAAGTCCCTTGAAACCACAAACACATGCATGTATGGCAGCCAGCGCCCCGCTGTACTATGGACATGCTAGGCCTGTTCTCTTCCCTTAACCTTTTGGTCTTTTTCCCTGTTAATGCTGGTTTCCTGGTGAGGACCAGGATAGGTGAGATCAGGACTATCTAATTCCAAACTTCAATCCCATTCAGGTCCCAAGAAGTTCACTGAGCTCTCCAGGGTGCATGGTTTGTCAGTCTTCCAGAAGAGGGTGTTTCCCTTCAAGTAACCAAACACTAAGTAAGTAATGCAGAGAACACCCAGAATGCCCAGAAGTCCCTAGTGCAGGTTCCTGGAGAGCATAGAGGTATCCCGGAGACAGTGCCAGCAAGATAGTCACTCACCTGTGCTCTCATTGCACTGAGAATTACAGCAGGGTTGTGACATGCCCCCCCCCCACAGGACTGTGACCTTCCCTAATGGAAGGAGCCACCTTTACAGTGTGCCTCAGGCAGGGCAGCCGACACCAGACCTTCCCTTGGGGCTCCCTTTCTTAAAAAGGAAGGAGATTTATATGCACCTGCCTCCCCCGGCTGGGGCCACATCTGACCCCACAGAGCAAGGCAATGGAGAGATGCCTTTAGCGTGTAGCACACAGCTGTGGTTTGTGGAGGAGATGAGGGAGGTCAGGAGGCCCTAAGAAAACACTTTTCTCTCAGAGAGGCCCTCAGCCTCTCAGGATGCTTGCAGAGCTTGGCTGAGGGAAAAATGGGCTCTGAGAACCTCTGGTCTTATGAAAATCCCTGGAAGCTTTCAATTAGTAGGTGCTTGACAACAGAAGAAAATGGGCTTTCATTGCCAGAGACCAGAAGGCAAAGGACCCCATGAGGCCGAGGCCTGACTAGACCTCTGCTGGTACAGGAACAGTGCCAAGGCGGGGTCACCACTCAGAGCCCTGTGTCTGTTCTTTCTTGACTGCAGGAGCAATTAATTAATGTCAAACGCAAAGACACAGGAGCCTCTTAAGATAAATATGACTATTCCTAGGATCGGTCTGGGGACCATCACGAGGCCCAGAGTAGCAGTGTGGAACTCCACACTTCTCAAAGACCCCCTGGCTCCACACAGCCATGAGCTTCTCCCTCCACCGCCATTCTGTCAGAAGGGAACATTTTTGGAAACCCACTTCCTGTTTTAAAGTTACTTCATGAAAGTAGAATTTCAGTCGGCCAGATGAGCAAACTGACTGCAAAAGTCTGCACACCTCCCCTCCCCAAGACATCCACATGCATGCAAACACTCTGCTATGCGTGAGTGCACACACATGGCCCACATGGATTCAGGCTGTCTTGAGTGGTTCTGAAAATGAGACATGCAAGTGAGCAGCTTGAGACGCCAATATGGGGGGGGGGGCAGGTGGCCCAGGAAAGAGGAAGCAGATGCCAGGCTGCAGATGTCCAAACCCTGGCTGCCAGCCAACCCTCTCCCATCAGCGGCCCTTCCCCAGCGTCTGAGAACCCCATCAGAATGAGCGAGGATGGGAAGTGTGACCGAAAAGGGAAACCCTGAGACTGCTGACCACAGGCCAGTCACGGGAAGGCCTTCTGTCCAGGCTGAGAACACCGAACAAAAAAGAAGAACTGGCCACTTGAGCTATTCTGGTAGGTTTTTCCAGAGTCGTATTAACCCTGTTCTAACCCCTGTATGCATAAGCACAGCCCCAGACACCCATCTACTCAGAGCAGTAAAGTAATAGGTTGCCCAGCACTTTGGAGGGTGCAGGGAGGTCTCCCCCTCCCCCACGTGGGGCACATGCTGATGCTCTGCCTCCTTAGAAGGTTTTACTTCACTTCCCAGTGGCAAACAGCCTCCATGCTCCTGATTCCAGCAGATGCATCTCAAGAGTCTGGAGAGTCCGCAGGTCGCTCCCCCACCCACTCCCTCCACCTTCTTAGCTGAATCCTGTGTCTCGGGCCATGATGCATGGGGGTTCCTGGCTGCTTCTGGTTGCTAAGCCCCTCCAGGGGTCTCTGGATGCCTCTCTGGCTCTAGTCCTATGTATCTCACCTGCCTGTTTCCTTCACACTGCTCTCTCACCAGAAGAGCCCTGTTCTCCCGGACTCTCAGATTCTGTCTTTCTCCTTTACTGGGCCCTGGCCCTCCTAGCCTCTCCCTGAACTTGAGTCCTTCCCTGGAAGCTGTAACTGCACGCTCGACCATGCAGCCCAACAATCTCCCACGTCACTGCCGCTTGAGTCAAACGGACCCCTGGCAACAGGGGTAGAAAGTTCCAGAGACACCAAGAGAAACAAAGTCACCTCCTAGCTGGTGCTCCTCTGCTCTCTAAGTCCTTATTACAACTCTTCATGTGGCCCACACCCTGTCTGCTGCTGACTCCGGGATACTTCTCCCACGAGCCCACTCCCCTCCATCCTGCTCCTCCCCGAGAGGTGGACCCAGGAAAGATAGCATAAAAACAGTCCACCATTGTGTATGAACTTCATTTGTGTTTGTTTCATAAAGAGAATGGAGCAGAGACACATCAAATAAATAAAGAGAGGGGCCTGGTGTTACCAAGCCTGGTGACCTGGTGGCCTGGTGGCCTGGTGGCCTGGGTTTGAGCCCCCATGATCCACACAGCACCAAAATAAATGTGACTTTAAAAAGTTTTAAATAATACAAGAAACTTTTGGAGAATTAGCTCAGGAAGAGGACAGCAATTGGAGCAGGAACAAAGGGACCACAGCAGGAGGGACAAGCCTAGGCACCCACGGGAGCCTGGGGAAGGTGTGGAAGAGACACATGCAGAAAGAGGGGGAGTCTGGGCACCTCGGTTGAAGGCAGTCCACAGAAGGAAGCTGTGTTCTCAGGAGCCACCCCAACCTTGAGCAGCTAAGTGGTAGTGGGGTGTGTATGTGACTCCCTAAAAACTTGTCCTCTGCTTTCCATATGTGTTGAAGTACCTGTACATCTGCACTCATATAATACACACACACACTCACACATTCACACACATATATATTATATAATATTATATATATATATATATATATCCCATGAAAGCTCCTAACAAATTTTAACTCCTATTCCATGGATTTGACAACGTCTCTTGGCTTCCATGAGCACCAGGTATACACATGCAGACACATTTATGTACACACTCATGTACATAAATAAAAATGAATAAATCTTTCCTTAAACGGGGCTTGTGGTGCTGGAGAGGTAACTCAGCAGCTAAGAGTACGGTTTGTTTTTCCAGGTTCTGTTCCCATCCTCTGCACAGAGGCTCATGACCAGCAGCTCCTCCA